GCTAGGATCTCAGAGTAGTTTGGGGGAAGATAATCTGCATTTTTAACATGGGATGTAGACACTGGGAGCCTTTTTTTTTTTTTTTTTTTTTTTTTGCCTAGGAAGCCTAGAGTTTGGCAGACTGGAGTTAAATCGTAAAGAATCTGTTTATTATTCTGCGACCATATGTTTAGAGGGTCGCTCGCAGAAATCAAAGTATTGTTCACGGAGAGCTCCAGCCAAGGAGACATTTCGAATTCATAAAAGAACTTCATAGTTTGAAAAGAAGGCGCAGCATTATGCATTGACACCCCACCACCATTGACAAAGGAACACAATTTAATAATAGAGGATTGTGCGCATGAGATTTTCCTTTTTCTTGTTAATTGGTTACTCTAACTGACATTGTCTGCGAGGATAATGGACACCATTATTCTTAATAGTTCTGTGTTGCCAGATGATGTATACAGACGTGATGTAGTCCATTTTAATTATTTCAATTTTGCTGGAAGTTTTTCTCGTCCGTGTAATGCAGTGGCGAGTGCAGATAGCACTTTTTGTTGTTGTTGACCGACTCGGCTGGATAATGCTGGATTCTAAATGATGGGAGTGAAAAGGGCATCTCTCGCTAATGTTTTCTATCCTGTTTACGTGCTAGGTATGACTACGTGGAAGTCATCGATGGAAAAAATGAAAACGGACGTTTATGGGGAAAGTTCTGCGGCAAGATTGCACCTTCTCCTGTCGTGTCTTCAGGGCCCTATCTTTTTATCAGATTTGTCTCTGACTATGAAACACACGGGGCAGGATTTTCCATACGTTATGAAATTTTCAAGAGAGGTGAGTAACTGACCTCCGGTCGAGGAAGTATCACTAAAATGTTCACTTAACACTGTTTGACTTCACGGAAGAACAAAGTGAAAAGAAAAACAAGAATGATGCTTTTATCCTTTCCTTCAAAAAATCATATAGTTGCATGACAAAAGGGTTGGAAAATACTCTAAATAAAGGAAAATTATCCTTTGGATGGAGGAAGTTCATTTAAAATAGAAACAAAAAGGATTTCAGGAGTCAAAATTCCATCATTGCCATGGGTTGACCAATGTTGATGAGGCATATGCTTTACACAACTCTTTTAAAAGCATTCATTCTTATTTTTCTTCTGTAGAAATAAGTTCGATCTACTCTTGAGGTTTGATTTCTTTTGTTAAAATTGCGTTCATCTCTTTTACCTGAAAGCCGTGTTATGTCTCCTTTGTTTTACTGCAAAATTCAAAGCTCGTTGTTCCCTGGAAAAATAAAGTAGTCCACCAGCCCGGGAGCTTCTATAGCTATGGGGGATGAAGAGGTTTCCTGATAACAGGATGATGATTGTGTAAAGAACCTCTTGGAAGAAACTAAAAAGTAATGCTTTAAATGACATTCTTCTTTGGCATAAAATATCGGTTACCCTCTTTCATTAAGCATGTACTGATCATCTTCCTAGCAGCAAATGGAAGGTGTGGAAGACTCTATCTAACAATTCGTAGGCTCTAGAAGATTAAACACATGCACCAGTCAATAAATAAACACGAACTTTATCTGGATGTCACTGTTTTCACCAAAAGCCTGTAGATTGTTGATTATTTTTGTGTGTAAAATTCAGCTCTCCTGTTATTTACCTCTTTAAGCTGATGTTAATGTGCGGAAGACCAGTCCAGGGACACAGGCTCAAGATTTGAACATATAGTCTTTGAATATAGGACAAAGAGCTTCTTTTAATAGAAAAAACTCTAGCCATGACTAACTTCAAAAGCCAAAGGTCTTCTGGGTCAAGGGCAACTGGAAATAATGAAAAGGAGAGTCATTAGGAGTATTTGGACACATTGGTGAAACTTCTTTAATTTTTAGAGATATCTGGCTTTGACCACCCCCCCCATAAATGGTGATAGATAGAACTTTCTTCAGAAGTTTAAGCACATTCATACTTAGAACACTTCTATTTTTTCTTTATTTTATGATGATGATGATGATTTTTGAGACAGAGTCTCACTGAATCACCCTTGGTAGAATGCGGTGGTGTTACTGCTCACAGCAACCTCAAACTCTTGGGCTTAAGCGAGTCTCTTGCCTCAGCCTCCTAGTAGAACACCTTTAATATAAATAACAGCACCCATATGACACCAGTGGAAGCAGATGATTACATATGCACATATTTTGTTTTGTTGAAAAGTGTCTGACTTGTTCTGTAAATAAATTCTGTATGTACGCATGCACGTGCACTCTTAACTTCACTTGCTTACCGTCACGTGTCACTGTCAAAGACACAAGGTGTCAGAAAGGGCTAAGAATAGACTTCGGTTTCCAATGTTTGTCAAAGATCTGAAGATGGTTGAAAGAGAAAAGAGATAGACTCGTCACTGAGTCATCCGGGATCCTTGATCTTCCTTCGTTGAGTCCACATGAACTCAGCTCCCTCTATTTCTGTTAGTGTCAGACATGCCTGAACTTCCATCCTGCTTTCCTGATCCTTGAAACTTGGGGTCTTCCTTTGTTCTTTCTCTTCTTGACTCTTCACATCCAACACGGTGTCTAGTCTAGTGCTTTTCAATTTTTATCCGAAGGTCTTGAAGAGTCTCAGCTGCTTTTCCACATCCACTGCCATTAACCAAACCTTTCCGTGTGATTTTAACCTACCTGGCACAGCTTCCCAAAGAGGCATGAAGCTGCTATCCTCAAAGTGCCTACAGAAGGGCTCCATCCCCGCCCTGGGCAAAACCCAAGGTCCTGTCCCAGGCTGGGTATTGTCAGGCCCGGCTGGATGTTCCCGGTCCCTCCCCCAAGCCCTGTACCCCCGGTTCCCAGTGTCATAGAATGAGTGCTGGTACCCAGTCGAGCCGACGATAGAGTGATTATGAACACAAGCAATTTTACACGAACAGTTTATCATATGAAAGAAGGAATGAAAGTAAAAGGAAACTAAACAAAATGAAAACTGTACCAGAGGTAGGACAGGGTCAGTCTTCAGGAATGAAGAAAGACGCCCAAGTTCGAGCACACCGCTGCCTTTTATAAACTCACTGCTTTGTCCCGCCTTTCTCCTGGGGGAATTGATTGTTCTATCCCGCCCTGTGGCTTCCCCAGAATTCGTCACCAAACTCCACCCCCGCTATGCTAATTAGATGGTAATGAGCCCTGGGTCAGTTACAGGTCCAGAGGAACTCCTCACAGGGCATGCTCCCCACTGGGGAGCAGTCCCATCTCCGATTTGGTTCCTAGATACACTTGGGTTCCGGCTCTCTGCTCTTAGCCACTTCCCAGCCACCTGTTTACCCTCAGCCCCCACAAACGTGATCAACTGCTCCTGTGCTTGTTCTGCTCCGGAGCTCACAGAGCCACACAGCCCGGCTTCCTGCCCCGGGATGGTGCCCTGGTGAAGGTCCAGCAGATCTGAAGGCGAAATTTAATTCTGCTACTGCGGATCTGTGTCAGTGCTCAGAGCCTCGGTTTGCTCATCTGAAAGCTTGGAGGAGCAGACCTATCTGGCTTTTTGTAAAAACACAGAAAAAATGCAGCCAGCGCCTGCCACTGAAGATGTGTTCAGTAAACAACAGCTGTTACGGTGATTATGAGTAGGGCTGGTGACTTCAAATTCAAAGCCCTGATCTCCTGCAGTATATTCCGTCCGTCCTTGAAAACCTGTTCTGAGGACGCTCTTCTTAATCAATCTGCCTTCCTTCCATGCCTGTATATCTAAGCTGTGTGTATGTGTGTGCATACACACATACATACTACATACAATGTTTGGAATATGTCTGTACAAGCATCCCATACACACACACACACACACACACACATCCCACTTACCAGTATGTGCCTCTCAAATATTTTCAATTTTTTTCATGTGTGCAGGTTTCATTTCCCCACCAGATTGGTCCTCCCTGAAAAAATGCGAAGAACACATCTTTTTTTTTCTACACTACACACACTACACACTCTCTCTCTCTATGCACGTATTAATATACAAGTCATGAATATGTTCTCCTCATAAGCCATTTCATGATATAATAAAGTTCGTGGACCTCTGTTCTTTTGAAAATACAGCACTTCTTTCAGGACCCAGCAATTTCAGGTTTCCTCAAAACACATGAATTATACTAATCATAGTTTAATGCAACCAGGAAATTAATCTTTCACCTGTTGACCGTGAGGTTTTCAGGCATTAGGTTACAGCGCTAAGACATATTTAGGCCATTTCCGAGTTCCCCAGGGCCATGTTGCTGGCCAGCTTGTCCAGACAGCAAGGCCAACCCCTTACCTTTCCCTATTCTTTCTGGCCCTATCCTGGGACCTCCCTCATTCTCTCCCCAGGAGCCCCGATTACCCCTACTTCATGTCTCTTCCTAGATGCTGAAATCTTGAGCCACCAGTCCTATAGCTACTCTGGCAGTTTTCTGTGGGTCTCAGTGCAGGGGGACGGGTGCCATTTATTTCAGGGAGGATTGGTCACTTGATATGTTATGTGATTAAGAGTCTGTGTATTTGATAGCAATTCCAAAGAGAGTGTTTCGCTTATTATTATCCATTCTTGTCATTACCAAGTAGATGTGGCTTTCTTACAGCTACTCGAGGTCCTTTGATCTTGCTGATAACGAGCAAAGAGTGGTGCTCACCTGCTCCCACGGAGACACCCAGGGCTGCGGGCCTCACCTCCTGCTCATTACCGTGGAATTCCTTAACCTATTCCTGCCATTGTCCTTTTCAGAGGAGGTGCTTTTCAAACTTAAGCAACAGTAAATAAGGAAAAAAAACAAATTTTGATGCATGATGGGTAGGGTGACCAGATTTTAACATCTGTAAGGCGGGACAACATGGCCAGGGGGCGGCGTGGGGGTGGAGCAGGGGCGAGCCTGGACGGAGCAGGGGCGCGGGGCAGGGGTCGGGGCAGGCAGGGCCTGACAACAAGGCAAACTTTGATAAGCAGTTCTCGATAATCACTTCTCAGCCATTATTTATTACAGTTTAACATTATAAAATTAACAAAAATAATATAAAACTCATATTCTGGCGAGATAGCCATATGGTGGCCAAAAACCATATATTCCCTTCTTGTTCTCCAGCCCGTTCCTGCATTCTTTCCAAAAATCGGGACTTTTTAAAAATGCTGCGGGACGCAGGGCAAATTGTTGAAAAGTGGGCCTGGCCCGCCAAAATGAGACATCTGGTCACCCTAATGATGGGGGAAAATGCAAAATGACAGAATCCTTACATTGGAAGGGATTTTATTTGCCACATCCTAAAGCCCCACTCCTGTTAGTTCTGCACAGAATTTGAGAAGCAGAGTGGTTGAGGGGCCACCAGGGGCTATACAGCAGGTTAGTGGGAAAGGCTGGACTGGTGCTCAGATGTCCTGGTGCTCAGCCCAGCTCTCTTCCATTACCTTGTGGGACTTCCCATGTTTTATAAAAGTACATTAGAAAGTCTGGGATAGATTCCAGGACGTGGCAAGGGCACAGCCAAAGCATCGAAATTCATTCAGCTTTGAATGTATGCCCTTAGTTCCGTCATTTTTTTTTTTGTTCCCCTAAATTCTTAATCTTGTCTAGACAATTTTATCTTTTATTATTAGTACCTGCATTAAACTTGACTGTTTACTTTCCCTTACAAGGACCTAGCCAAAGGATATCTTTACCTAGGGAGTTTGGAGGTGTCTCTGGTCACTGTCTCTACCTCTTGGAAATAAAATTCTAGAAGTTTCCCAATGTCTCATATATACATAAGTATGTATACATATACACACACACATATATGTATATATACTTATATAGTCACTAATTCACAAGTATATATATTCTATACATACACACATATATATTCTATATATGTACATAGTGACTCAAATTGGCTCAAATCATATTCTATATATGTGTGTATATATGTGAAATATATACTAATTCACAAGCATATATTCTATATGTGTGTGTGTGTGTGTGTGTGTGTATGTATGGCTATGCCAGTTTGAATCACTAATTCACAAGTATATATTATATATATATATAAAAAATGTGTGTATATATGAAGAGAATATATACTTGTGAATTGGTGACAAATTGGCATAGCCAGTGTCATCTCAGAAGCCACCAGAATAATTTAGAAACATATTATAAACTGTATGGCATATTTCATAATCTCTTTACCTGGAATTGACCTGTCGCCATGGCACATGTTAATAACTTTTAACCAGAACTGAATAGACAGGCATTTGAGGCCCCTTAATAGTGAAGAGTGAGCCACATCCAAGAAGGCTTGGGAGGCAGTTTAGACCTATGGTCCCCAACCTCTGGTCTGTAGACCTGTCTGTGGCCTGTTAGGAGCTGGGCTGCACAGCAGGAGGTGGGTGCCATTGAGGGAGGCTTCATCTGTATTTATAGCTGCTCCCCAGCACTTACCATCAGGGCCTGAGCTCTGCCTCCTGTCTGATCAGTGGTGGCATTAAATTCTCAGAAGTGTGAAGCCTTCTGTCAACTGCACATGTGAGGGGTCCAGGTTGCAAGTTCCTTATGAGAATCTAATGCCTGGTGATCTGAGGTGGAGGTGTAATACACTTGAATCATCCCATCTGTGGCAAAATTGTCTTCCATGAAACCAGCCCCTGGTGCAAAAAAAGGTTAGGGGACCACTGTTTTAAATCAATTGCAGACCAGGTCTGGGAGGCGTGTGAAACAACCTGCAGACCAGCTTTGTTGTGTTCATCTAACAAGTATTCTTCTGCATGTACAATGCCAGGAACATCTGATGTGCGCACAGAGAGAAAAAAAAAAAGATTGATTTGTTTTCTCAACGGGCTGCCAGATACACGGAGCTGGAGATTCAGCTTACTGACCTGAGTCACTAAAAATAGAGACTTGCTAGTTAAATTTAATCTGTATTGATGCCTAATCAGTTGCCTCTAGTTCCTTGGCACTTTGGGAGAATATTTAGTTACAAGCAATCTCAACAGACCACCTTCTTCAGAGTTGAATCCTTGTATGTCATTACAGGGGGGCTGTCCCTTCTACCTGGATGTCACTGCATTGCAGGAAAAGCATTGTTGAATTGAATATGCCCAAAAGCCTCAAGCCTTCTCTGATTCACAGAGAGCCTCAAGGGTAGCTGTATGAAAATCAAGGCAGCAGATGGTGGTGCTGAGGGCAGAGTCAATATGCTCGTGTTGGTGTAGACAAGCAGGTCTTCAGTTGTACAGGGAATAGCACCGTACTCTGTGCTGAATGCCGTGAATTGAAATTGTGGTCATTCCAACAGGCATAAATAAAGTCAACATGCACTGTGTGCCTGGATGCTCTTAACCAGTTGAAATGGCAGAGCACCATAATCTACAAAGCCTTGATCACACTAAACAGTTATTAAGATTATAAATATGTACATCACACACATACACAGCTATTAGCAAGCAACCGTAGCATGGCATACAGCATCCAATACTTGGGGGAAGGTTAGGGTGTCAGCATTGATATCTGGTGACTTCCAGCATCGTGGTCTGTAATCCCATTTTATCGTGCCCTCACTAACAGCCACACTTTAGCGGCACACCTGTGTCAACACCACTCAGAATGAGTCACTCACCCTGGGTACATGTACGAATTACCTTTCACATTTCGTTTGTCAAAGAGGCATAGGTCACATCTGGCAGAGTTACTGAGTCACTGGTGTAGGAATCTGAAACCCCAACTCCCTCCGCTGAATTCTCTGCCTCGCCTTTGTAAATGTTCTATTTCACCAATAAAGGCCTGTCAGCCTCAAGATTTAAAGATTTGAGCTTGAAGGGGCTATAATTATTTCTCTAGGGCTCTGTCGAGATTTCTGCAGCTTACTCATTCATTGTTCCCACATGATTTTATATTTGTCATTTTTTCTCCCCCTGCAATAGCAGAAGTCTTTAAATTGTTCCACACAAATGGAAAACTAAGGTGAACGCAATAAATCTGAACTTGACTTTCCATACCTATTTCACGAATATGAAAAGGCTGACTAATGCATGATTAAGACAGTGATTATAATGGTGGGATTTTATTAGAAAGACGTTGTCTTTGCCCCGATTATTTCTGGATGAAGTTTTAAGTGGGATTTTTCACCTTGCTCCTTTTCTTCTCTTTTACTCACAGGTCCTGAATGTTCCCAGAACTACACAACACCCAGCGGAGTCATAAAGTCCCCTGGATTCCCTGAAAAATACCCCAACACCCTTGAATGCACTTATATTATCTTTGCACCAAAGATGTCAGAGATTATCCTGGAATTTGAAAGCTTTGACCTGGAACCCGACTCAAATCCTCCAGGGGGGATATTCTGTCGCTATGACCGACTAGAAATCTGGGATGGATTCCCCGATGGTAAGAATGACAGAAAGCCTCCCCCCGCAAAGAGAAAGACCTGAGAAAGGTCCCAGGATCCTTTTACAAGTGTCATGACACAAGCATTATTTTTTAAAAAAAAAAAAATAGGACGAGAGAAAACAAAGCGAAGTGGCAACTCTATTTACATTGAGCAGCGATGAAATGCCTGAGCTCAAAAGGACCTTAGTAACTATCTAGTCCAATTCCTTCATTTTATAGATAAGGAAGCAGAGGCCAGGAGAGATGATGCAAGGCCTGGCAGCTATTTTCGTGATAGAATTGGGATCAACACATAGTTTTTCTCACTGAAGTATTTTGCTCATTTTTACCAGCCTGCCTGGTCATTAAATCATAGACGGTCAGAGAATAGGACCTTAATAAATCAATTAAATCAAACCACTCAGGCTGAACCAGTGCAGAGACTAAGGATCAGAGAGGTCTAAGTCCTTGATAAAATTTTAAGGATGAAATATTCATCAATCACGCTGCAAAAAGAAATTTAAAAATTTGGAAAAAGAATGAGAACGTTCGGGCGTTCCTTAAGTAGACTGATTCCCTGTAGGCTCTCTACGGAATTTTCATCTTTGGCAATTTGAATCACTTCAATATCTCATTGATATTGATCGTTTCTACCATCTAGATTAATTCCTATATCTAGAAAATATCTCCTGAGCCCCTGCCACTTACCAGGCACTGTCCTAGCCACTAGGACAATCAAAGGTACGGCCTTTGTAGAGTTATATTCCACCAGAAAGAATCAGACAATAAACAGTGCACATTATAAATAAATGAGTTATGTGCATGAAATATTAGAAGGTGGGGCTTGGCCCCCATAGCTCGGTGGTGAAGGTGCTGGCCGCATATGGGGGGGTGATGGGTGGGTGGCAGGTTGGAACTAGGCCCAGGCCTGCTAAATAATGACAACTACAATCAAAATATAGCCGGGCACTGTGGCAAATGCCTCTAGTCCCAACTACTTGGGTGGCTGAGGCACTCAAGAGTTAGAGGTTGCTGTGAGCTTTGACACCATGGCACTCTACTGAGGATGACATAGTGAGACTCTGTCTCAAAAAAAAAAAAAGAAATGAAATATTAGAAGTTGGGAAATACTAAAAAAAAAAAAAAAGAAGAAGGAAAGAAAAAGTAAAACTGGGTCAAGGAAGGAGAATTTAGGTATGGGTTGAAATTTTAAATAGTAGTTAGATTAGGCCTTGTAAGAAAGTGACATGATTTGAAGGAGGTGGGGGAAGTAGCTATAGTTGCTTGGATGTGTGGACATCTAAATGAAAGGTTTCCATTCAAACCTTCTGAATTAGAAGGTGAACGGCAAAAATGCATAGCCAAATGCTGAATAGAGAGTGATAATATCAAATTATTTGTTGTTGCTTCATTGCTTAGGTTGTGTTTACTCTGGTTTAATCTTAAGATGTCTTTAGGGAACCCAGGCTACACAGACCAGACAGGGTGGCCTGGAAGTTCTTAGTGGCCAGGCAATTACAGATGCATAATATCTGTAAAATAGAGTCAGATATTCTCAAGTTGGAGCAAATAATACATAAATACATCATAAACAAAGAACAAGCATAATAGGAAGGAGATGGCCTTAGTCTTTGCAATGACATTAACATTATTAGTGTAATTCAATTTAGCTATATTCCTCAATAATAAACAACATTAGAGAAAAACTCAGATTAGAGAAACCTTTTATTGTCATGGGTGTAAATGGGTGAGTTAACATTAGCTTAATATCTTCATTGCTCTTTTACCATATAAATAGGATTATGATGATCTTATCAGAACTCTTTCATTAAGTAATGAGATTTACCCAAACAGAATGCTGATGGATTTCCAAGTATTCAATCCAATAATTAGGAAAACAATGTTATAATAATGTCCTAACAATAGTTGGAACATTTAATAATGGGCTTATTTGTTCACAGCCCAAATTTGCAGCCTTCCTTTCTAGAACTTTCATTGAAATTGACATCTGAAGAGGAGGTCCAATCAACCAACTTATTTAGAATACTTTCAGAAGGAAGCACGTTGTCATTAATGTCAAGGGTTTTTCAACACAGTAATTTTCTGGCTCTAGAAAATCATTGAGTTGAAGCAAAGAACAATTAGCAGTAAGAGTTATCAGCCTTGCAAAATTCATCCCCGTTTTCAATATGGTGCATTTGACTTAGTCTCAGGGAAAACTGGCTTTGGGGTATGAAGAATGCATCTGTGTATCTGTTAATATATACCTGGCCACCCTAACAGCTCACTTGTTAGGTAAATGGGAGTCTGTGCCCTCCTGGGTGTTTTGTCAATGGTACTAGAAACATTTTTGTCATCGTAGTTCAACACATACGGTGCCTCTGCCAAGGAAATTGCTTTTAGTCTTTGATATCTTTTCCAAAAACAACAACCAGAAGGCGCTGAAGGCTTTTAACCATCAAGTGATTTTATGTTGCATTTTATCATAAACATTGAATTAAATGACTGAGTAATTGAAACTACCCATTGATTCAAATTGACTTTGAAGCAAAGCAGTTTACTCCAAATTCAAAGCATGCATATTGTGAATACACATCTCCATTGATCACTCTTTTGGAAGCTCCTAGGAATTCGCACGCAAGTAGCAACCGGGAAGGAACTGGTGGAGGTTTGCATATACTTTGAGACCAAGAGCCGAACACTGCTGCCCTGGCTGGTGCTTGTGTTGAATGATGACACCAGATGTGACAGCTTAGCTCATGTCACTCCCGTGCAGGGCACAGATGAAGTTGGTGCTGTGTCTCAGCTAGCGGAAGGGGCCCTTCAGCACCTTCCACCAATAATCACCATTTCAGAAATCAGTTTCCTAAAACGTAGATTGAAATCTCTTTGTTTTTATTTACTTTTTTTTTTTTTTTTTTTGCCAGACTGGAGTTTCTGATCATACCCAGGTGACAAGAAAGGAAATTTCTTCTTTCTCTAGTTCAGAGCAACTTTTGCTTTCTTAACGGGGTTTAGACATTCTGTTTTTATATACCTTTACACGGAAATTAATCTCCTATAACCACAGGGATAGATGTAAATGTGCCAATTTTTTTTTCTAGGAAAAAATTGTAAGGTTTGTTTTTAGTATTCCACACATGCCCCACCAATAAGTTTTTATTTTTATTCTTTATTTATTATTATCTTTCTTTTTGTGGAGACAAAATCTCATTCTGTTGCCCTGGGGTAGAGTGCTATGGCATCCTAGGCATCATAGCTCACAGCAACCCTAAAATTCTGGGCTAAAGGGATCCTCTGACCTCAGCCCCCAGAATAGCTGGGACTATAGGTGCCTACCACAACATCTGGCTAGTTTTTTTTTTTTTTATTTATTTTAAGCAGAGATAGGGGTCTTGCTCTTGTTCAGGCTGGTCTTGAACTCCTGAGCTCAGGCCATCCACCTGCCTCAGCCTCCCCAAGTGCTAGGATCACAGGTATGAGCCACGGTGCCTGGCCAGATTTCTCTTTTTTATTTAATAAAAGCAGAGATGGCCTACTTTTTAACCTTTGAGATGAAGTCCCTTTTTTGTTCAGTATTCAGAATACCTCATTTAAATGGTACCTCTTTATGGTCGATCATTGATTTTATTGTTTCCACATAAAAAGGCAGTAGACAGCCAAATCTTCTGGTTCTGAAGGAGGGTTGTAGTTACTGGAGAGATGAATGGGAAAGTACAAAGAACGGGGTATCCCTATTCCCCGTTGCTGGTCTGTCTTCTAAACAACACCAATACTCTGTTACCTTCTCACCTGATAAGGTGTGATCAGGTATATAATTCTCTATCTTGAGCATGGGGGGTTGCTTAAATTCTTCAAAAATTCCACTTGGGAATCACACTTCTCTTTTTGTGACACTCGCCACTCATCTCTTCGGCCTTGGGGTGCACAGTAAGAGAAATAAGAGACCCCATGGCTGTGTTCACATAAAATACACAAATGAGCACACACACGAGACGGGTAAGAACACTCCATCCATTCTCGCTCAGATCAATATTGCATTAGCTTGCCAGGCTCAGGGCTCGGTGCTGTTCAGGAAAATTCAATACTTCTTTGTATTATCATCGAAAAAGCCTTTCACTGTCATATCTTAAGGGCTCCTAAAAAGAGTTGCCTGCTGCTGTCTGGGGCCAACGCTCTGAAAGACAGACAGAAGGCAGATTTACCAGCATGTCTTCAACATTATAAACCAGTGAGTCATGGAGACCCTACATTATGAGTCTGCATTAGACAAGTTCTCTTCTGTTTGCTCTTTCAAAGAGTCTCCCCTTCCACCCTCCCCAAAGGAATTGAGGGATAGTGGGCGGGGGGGGGAGGCATGCCACCAGTGCTTCCAGAGTTGGGGGGAGATCACAGCTTTCCTTGTGAGCTTACATTCTTGGGAAGGTCAGTGGTTGTGGTGAGGAGAGAGCGACCCCCAGGAGTAGGGATGTAAAAGTTTGCTTACAAACGAAGGAAAAAGATGATGAAGCCGCCACACTAATGGAATTCAAAGGAGGGGGAGTGAGGAAGCGTGAATGGACTCTAAGCCTGGCATTTAAAACTGCAGACCAGAGATGAGATTCTTTTTGAGGAAACGCAAGACCGAAGTGGATGGGGTCTAGTAAGATATTTTCATGCATGTGTTATAGGCAACTTTGAGCTCCACAAAGATGAAAGAAATTTCTGATAGGGCCACATCTAGAAAGAGGAAAATATGGCAAAGAACCAGTGCTTCTAGAAGACTTTCAGGCCAGATTTAAGCCAAAGAGCCGCCCAAAACAGCAGAAGAGTTTCATCTTCTCAAATTCTTTCTTCTGCCAACCGGGAAGCCTCATATAACAAAATTTGCTGCCCATCCTGCAAAACTATCGTCCATGATGGGTGAATGGCCTGTGATCATCTGTATCAGTGCTCCTCACTGGGCCGCCCTCCTTATTCTCTTCATGATAGAACCATCTAGGCAGGCAGAATGCTTGGTTCCTGAAGAGTGGGGGGTTACAGTAGAGAGAAAAATCCTGTGAATTCAGTCAAATCGATTACTTTGAATGCATGGAGAAGTCATCAGGTATTCAGAATAATCCATTTTGCATATTATTCAAGAATGGGAACCACTTGGGTTTGGTTTAGTTTGATCTCGGTTTTTGTTTTTGTTTTTCAGTCTGGGATTTTTTTTGTTTGTTTGTTGTTTTTCGGAGGATTGACCAACAGCAGAAAACCTATTAGCCAAGGAGCTCCGTACCCTAAAGGGCAGAGTGGGAAGATTTGCAGCCTACTAGGCACTGGGCCGGTACTTGGGGCTCCACGGAACCCAGTTGTGCAGTTCGCTTTGGCAATCACACTTGAAGGTTCCTCCAGCCTTCATCCGGGGCCTTCTGCATCCAAGTTGCACACCCAGGGCTTGGAACACCACATCCCCAGTGAAGGCCTCTCCCTCCAGGGAAAGTCCACCTATGGTTCTTCCTTAAACAAAGCAATAATTCTTAGTGGAAATGCACAGAACCATGGATTTCTTGGAGGGGAAAACAGTCCACACCAGATTGTCCTTCTAAGCCCAAACCATCTGGTATATTTTTACCATATGTGCAATGAAAAAAAGAAAAACCTAGAGAAAAAGAGATTTTTTTTTTTCTCTCTGTCTTGGCTTGCTGCTAATCTGGACAGGGAAATGGAAAGATTCTCCAAGTCCAGGGGGCTTCTGCCCTGTTCACAAGGCAACTTACAATTACTCATTGCCTGGGTTTGTCGAGAGTGCTTCAGCAAAGGTGTGGCTAGTTTAGCCAAATAGCAGTCTGACTTGAACTTGAATTTGTCCATATTCCCAATCTTACATTGCCCCAGGTATACTGTTTTCCTGGTGTGGACAGTCAGATGGCTGCTTTGGGCCATCTCTTGGCCACTGGGCACAAGTGCAGGAGGCCTACCTCTCAGGTTTGGGAGAGAAGATACTGGAATGCAAGTCAGAAAAATACATTTGCATTTCATTTCATAACCTGCTGTTACGTATCAAATATTGGCATTGGTAGTCTCTAGCTCTTAAAATTATTACAGTTATTAACTAGTCTTTAGATAAAGCCTGGAGTAGGACATAATCCATTGTCCTTTGTTCATGTCTGTAATGTTTATTATAAGAATCCAGGGCTAAGTGAGGAAAGAAATAGAGGTCTCCAAGACCTGGGTCTGACCCGTGGTGTTGCTCTGGTTCTGGACATCAGCCATCTCCATAATCCCCCCCCCCCGGGGCAGGAGAATTGAGGACAGGTAACTCCCAGAGAACTCCGTGTCCCCAGCCCAGCCAGAGTCCTTCAGTGCTGGGTTGCAAACACAGCATGGCCCTGGAGACGAATGCCAAAGTGCCACTTAGACAGCCCAAATCTCATTCTTGGCCACTGAAGCAAACATTTTGATTCTGTTCCTGAAAACAGTTCTGCCCACTGGGGAATGTGGTTATGCCTGTAACTGCCCTTCTGAGCGCACTTTGAAATCTTCTCCGCAAACCCAATCCAATATGTTCGCTGCAAACCAATTAACTAGGGAAGCCTTGCTTTGGGTTAGAAAACACTTCTGGGTTCCGCTGGGACCCATGCTTATAAACGGCAATTCTCCCATCTGCTGTAGAAGAAAAGAGATTTCTGACATGTCTCTGTATTCCTCCCTTTCCAGTGGGCCCCCACATCGGGCGTTACTGCGGCCAGAAAACGCCAGGTCGCATCCGTGCCTCATCAGGCATCCTCTCCATGGTTTTCTATACCGACAGTGCAATAGCAAAAGAGGGATTCTCAGCAAACTACAGCATCCTGCAGAGCGCCATCTCCGAAGGTCAGTGTTTGTTCACCTTGCAAAGCCCCGCGGTAAATATTCCTCATACACCTGCCGCCCATGAAACACAAAAGAAAGAAGCGTTGTGTGAATTGGGATGCCCCGTGTTTGTTTTTTTTCCCTCTTCGATGCTTTTTTATGAACATCAATAGGAAGTACTATTTGCCGTGCTTTCTTCATAAAATCGTAGATGAGTAGACCCCTTGGGAGCCTCTGAGATTATGGGGGGAAGTGGGAACTGGGGAAGCAGGGACTTGAAACAATGAGATAGGACCAGGCCGCTCACCTGACCCCCTCACATGCATGACAGGCTGAGAATCCTAAAAGAACGGGGTTCCCATACTAGAATAAATCCACACTAGTTCCCTAACAGAGCAGTCACACAGAATGCACCGTGCTCTGCTTGTGGAAGACCCCAAGGGAAGCCATTATGTTTTTTTGTATCCTATGAAAATACCCAACTTCAACTCAACCCTTGCTCAAAGTTTCTGTGGTCTCCAACTCTTTTAAAGGCCCAAGGGAAAAACTCAAAGAGGAAGTTGTCTGTGGGTTTCATCAGTTCTAGCTTCCAGGCTAGAAAGTAACAAAGAGGGTGGGAAAAAAGGGGTGTTTGGAGGCGTGTCTCCCCGATTGCAACTGGAAAATGAGACCAACAAAATGTCAAAAGCTTATTTGTTCTTCATGTATTTGCCAACTTCGTGTATGCGTTTGGAAGGGGCCTGTACGTCCTTTTTATATTACAAATGACAAACCTAAGTGTAAAAGTATGAAACCCATCTAAAGACAATCTTTTATGGCCTAAATCTGTTTTCATAGTAGATTTAGAAAAGATGAAAATGTTAGTTGAGATTTATCCAGATAGGCGAGAATCTTCCATTTCATCTCTAAAGCTGTTCTTCACTTTCGTGCTTTAGATTAACATTTTCCTAAAGTTAATTACTTTTTTTTTCCTGATGCCATCAAACTGAGTATGCCAGGCCTAATGGAATTCGGGTTTTGATGACGCATGGTTATTGCTGAGATCATTATTATTTTATGCTGTAAAACTGGAGTGTTCTTTGGGTCCACAAGATACTTCAGCTTTCCCCTGATAGATGCATTTTGTGTTTTAATAGAATAAATGAATGATATTAGTTATGTTGGTTTTGCCACAAGCAGAGAGCATGAGAAAAAAGGCACAGGAAGAGGTGTCTATTTGCTATTTACAAAAAATCTGAAAGAAAGCTAAGATCTGGCCAGGCATGGTGGCTTACACCTATAGTCTAAGCACTCAGGGAGGCCGAAGCAGGTGGATCGCTTGACTTCACAAGTTCAATGCCAGCCTGAGCAAGAGTGAGACCCCCATCTCTACTACAAATGAAAAACTGAGGCAAGAGGATCGCTTGAGCCCAAGAGTTTGAGGTTGCTGTGAGCTGTGATGCCTCTGCACTCTATGAAGGGCAACAAAGTGAGACTCTGCCTCAAAAAAAAAGTTGAATTCTACTGACAGCTGAATTGTAAATAGATGTAGAGACTTTCTCAGTTTTATTAGATGTTGGAGGAAATAATTTAAAACTAAAATTTTATTTAAATACAACTTTTGATCTACACCCATATAAGTACACACACATGCACAGAGGGTGCCAAAAAATGGACCCACACTTTAATATACCAACAAAGTTTATCATCTTGTGTATTATATCTTGGATCCCTTGTAATTGTAAAAAACAAATGTAACTTGAGTATTTTAATTTTTAATGCAGTTAAAATTGTAATACCTAAACTATTTTACACATTTTTTGGCACCCTCATTTCTAAACACTCACAACTTTGAAAGTAAATCAGAATGCCCATTATTTCCTAGTACATTTCAAATAGTATTTTTGTTAACCTGGGTCCACTTGAGAAAATTATTAGTCCCGTTGTGATCTTCCTAGCCTTATTTTTAAATGATGTTGTGAAAATGTAAGTATCAGTGCTATGTTCCAATAAGTCCCTTGCTGCCTTCTTTTGTAAGTTGAGTGAAGGAACTCTTTTTCATCTGGCAGATTAAAAAGAAAAGATGCATCTTAGGTCTGTTATGGTTTGATTGATTTGGGGGCTCTGTTTTTCTCTTCAGATTTCAAATGTATGGAAGCTCTGGGCATGGAATCAGGAGAGATTCACTCTGACCAAATCACAGCCTCTTCCCAGTACAGCACCAACTGGTCAGCAGAGCGCTCCCGCCTGAACTACCTGGAGAATGGGTGGACTCCTGGGGAGGATTCGCACCGAGAGTGGATCCAGGTATGCAGCCTGACGCCTGGCATATCTAGGGCTGAGGAAGATTTTGGTTCTCTAGAAAGGTGGGTAACCAACACCGCCACCCTAAAAAAGTCGTACTGGGCCAAATGCCTTCAAATGAGAAGAGAGGATAATGGGCATCAGATGTAATCACTACTGAATGATCAATCACAACATGATCAGAGAAAAGCAGATCTAGGTGATGTCCCTGAAGAACTATTTATCTTCTCAGATACTTAAGATTCTACCCAATTACAGAATTTGGGTACAGATGGCTCCCTTTGATAACAGCGATCTGATGTTTCCCAGCCACTACACGTTTTCTGTGGCTGTGCTTCCTACTTTGACTTTTTTTTTTAATTTCCTTGATGTGAATCCTGTTTATAGATGTGCATGAGACATTATTTCCAAGTATAGGGTCTTCTGTTTGTTCAGAGAAGGGAAGGAAGGGTCAGGATGTATTCTACCATCAAGGACGATATGGTAGGAGTTTAGCTGCGGTGCTGGTCTCAGTTGACTGTGGGTTCATGTTTATGGATGAAATGTCCAGACCTGTGTTCTTGTTAATAGGCCTGCCTCTGCTTCCCTCACTTGGCTTTGAGATTTTCTCCCTGCCGTAACATACGTACCCTACAGGTCCCTCCTTAACTGCCCCAACCCTGAACTGTCCCCCACATGTCCAGCGACATCATTTCCAGCCTTGTTTGACACTGGCCTATCCCACCCAAGGCCTGATACTCCCGTCCATGAGGGTTCAACCCATTGTTAAATAAAACATCCACATCTGGATCTATGGGCTAACCTGTGGGCAAATGACACAGAAGATTATTTGCAGAGGGATCCAGCCTTCCTTTTCAGCAGAGTAGGCAGAGCTTATCTTGCATTCATTGCTAGATATATAAAAATGAATAATTCCCAGAGAGAGTTTCTAAGCAAGGAAAAAAAGAAAAAAAAAAAAAAACCCCCACCAAGATGATTAATTCTCTACTTTCCACATCTATTGCTGTGCTCAGTCTTTGGAGCACAAATACCAGATTTTGTTTTACTTTGGAAAGGTCAATATTAGTTTAACATACACTTCAAGTGGAATAGCCCATTATTGGAGACTGAACTCACGCTAACCTGTAAAGGATAACACAGAGAAATGTGGAGAGGGTGAGAAAAGATGAGACTTTTACCTTGGGATGGCTGGATCCAGCTCTAGATTAAGTCAGAGACGAAATGAATTTGCCTGTGTCAGAAATAGCTCTTGGTAACTTGTTTTCCCACACCCTCAAACCAACAAACGGGTCGGTGTGATTGACAGGCATGCCTCTGGAGGAAAGCTTCTGTTTTGCAGTGCTAAGCATGTTTGCATGGTAAAGTCGTCCTGTTCTCGGTAATGCAAAGAGCTCGGTCACGTAGGGATGGCTGGTGGTCTCCCAGGAGTTCTGAAATTGCCATTGTAGCGATTCTTCTGTGTCAGGCAATTCTCTGTCGGGAGAAACATGGAACCAGAATGGACTTTCTGAAAGTATTTGTCCACCAGACAGGATTTGCATCCTTCTTCAGAGGGAGGCAGAAGCTGAGATTGTCCCAGAAGGAAAAAAAAAAAAAATCTCCCATCATCTAACTCTTTCTATCAGAGAGTGAAGGTGGTCAGGAGAAGCAAGGTAACCCAAACCCCCAAAACAAGAACTTCCATGTAGTCCATGCTCTGATCCACATCTTCTCGCCCAGCGGGTGGGGCTGAGATGGAGGGAGAAAGAATTTGGCAAACCATGCGGCCTCTCCTGGCAGAGCACACTTCCACCCACGTTTCACCACCACAGCACACCACACGGCCACATGTAACTTCCAAAGGGCAGCAGAATTTACTTTCTGCTGGAGGAAGGGAAGTTAGAAATATCTGGTGAACAGCAAGAATAATGAATGCGCCATTCACAAAATACTCACCATGCATGGAATGCTTACTATGTGGTCCAAGCTGTGAAAAATTCTTGACTTATTTGTTATTTAATCCTCAAAGCAGTGCTGGGAAGGAAGTATAATTATCTGCATGTTTAAAATGATGACAATGCTGGGTGTGGTGTGTTATGCCTGTAATCCCAGGCAAGGCGGGAGGATTGCTCGAGGCTAGTTGGAGACCAGCCTGAGTAAGAGCAAGACCCTGTGTCTACAAAAGAAAAGAAAAGAAAAGAAAGGGCAGAGAGAGAGGGCGGGAGGGAGAAAGAGACGGAGAGAAAGAAAGAGGGGAAAAGAGAGAATGAGAGGAAGAAACAAAGGGAGGGAGAGAGAGAGTGAGGGAGGGAGGGAGGGAGGAAGGAAGGGAGGAAAGAAAGTGAGCCAGGCATGGTAGCGCCTGTAGTCCCAGCTACTTGGGAGGCTGAGGCAGGAGGATCACTTGAGCCCAGGAGTTTGAGGCTGCCCCCTCCCACCCACAGAGCTATGATGATGCCACATTACTCTAACCCAGGTGACAGAAAAAAAGAGAGAGAGAGAGAGAAATGATGACACCAAAGTTCAGAGAGGTTTATAAATGTTCAAGGCCACAATTAGCTATTGGACTTGAAATCAAGGTCTACCAGCCCCTAGCCCTGCTGCTTTACCCCACAGGATCACGGGGTTTTTCTCATTCATCACCGTTCCGAAGCATTCAAGTATTATTTTTATGAAACATCAGTCACCTCCCTGTAGACTTGTCCTCGTTGGCTGAGAGGGTTTGCTCAGAGATGGGTTGGGTCCTTTTGGTCACTAAACCTAGAGTGTACGGTCCTCGGTCCTGATTCCCTCCGAAAGGTGACTGTCACAAAAACTTAGCTCTCAGGTTCACCTTGAGGTAAAATCATCATTTTTATTTTCCCTTCGGAGCTCAGCGGGCTCATTTGCATGCGTGTTGTGTCTGTGGACGTGGTAGGGGCTGTTAGCATCCGCTGATCACCTAATTATGAATAATTTCATGTGTTTCCAGCTTTGCAGAAACTCCTTGGAAGTGGTTGGCTTGTTGTTTGCATTGGATAGATGTTCTATAAATTAAACAACAAGTACAGCGTCATTTAGACTGAGGGCCAGAGGCGCCACCTGTAATCACAGGACCCTCGGCACGCGAACGTTCCTATTTGCGTGCACCTAAGGATGCAGATGACATTTGTTTGCTTTTTCAGCTTTTTTGCATTTTGCGTGAAATATGCCCCCACAAAACAAGTTGCTGTGGCAACAAGAAGAACAAACACTTGCATGTGTTAAATTAATAAGGCAATATTGGAAGCGGACTCTCCTTCAAGACAGGAACCGTCTTGGGTTCCCATTGTTTTCTCTAGGAAATTGCTGAGTGACATGAAAAAACAATGCCTCATTAACGGTGGCTACGAAGGTCCACATCGGGGCTTCCTGTGAGATCTGTTGTCTGCTACGAAGCTTAAAAACAAGTCAAGGAACCCTTTGGTGAGAAGGATCGGGAAGGGAAGTCCCAATTTGAAGACTTGCACACAGCTATATCCTGCTCAGAAGGCTATTTCATATCCTGAGCGGCTAAAATAACTCTTTAATTGTCAACGGCAGAGTTAATCACACTGTGAAACTCCCCCCCTCTTTTTTTTTCCCAGAGAATTCTATTCTCTATTCTGTGCCCTGGACCTCCTTTTCTTACTATGAACATGATCTTTTTTTTCTTCTTTGTTTCTAGTTAAACAATCAAAGATTCAAAGTAAAGACTCCGTGTATAAGAGATTCGATAAAAATTCTGACTTTTAAGCACATCGTTAGAGCTCCGAGCCATTAAATCCATTGACACTGAGTTTCTTCTCCTATAAAGTAAAGATAATGTAGCTTTCACTCCATTCAAGCTCTCTGAGTCTATGATACTATGACTCTCAAAGAAATGAATCTGGATTCTTCCCTTTCATCTCTGCAAACTAAGTATCTAGCCCACGATGTCTGCTCAGGAGACGTGTTCTCATAGATCCTTAAAGGAGCCATTCACACACAAAGCAGAATGTAATCCATTAATTATTTCAGTGTTTTATTAATGATAGTGTTCACCACACTGTAAACAGATTTATCCTTCCAGCTTTAATTAAAGCTCTGGGGAGTGGCTTTCCTCAAAACAACTGTGACTTTTCTCTGATTAAAATGCCAGGAGACCAAAAAAGAAAAAAAAAAAAAAAAGGAAAGAAAATGGAAAGAAAAGAAAAGCAGGAGGCACAATGCCTGGGCGTGAGATGAACTTTGTAGATTGAAGAAACAAAAATGGCACTGGAGATTAATTGATTACTAAGCCTGCCCTCCCTGCCCTGCCCCCATCTACCCAGTGACTTTAGAAATAGAATTATTTGACAAACTATCTTGAGCTGAAACTCCATTCTTCTTCTCCCTTTTTTTTTTTTAGACAGAGTCTCACTCTGTTGCCCCAAGCTAGGGCACCATGGCTTCAGCCTACAGCAACCTCAAACTCCTGGGTTCAAGCAATCCTCCTGCCTCGGCCTCCCGACTAGCTCAGACTATAGGCACCCACCACAATGCCTGGCTAGTTTCTTCTATTTTTGTAGAGATATGGTCTTGCTCTTGTTCTGGCTGATCTTGAACGCCTAAGCTCAAGAGATCCTCCTACTTCAGCCTCCCAGAGAGCAAGGATTATAGGTGTGCACCTCCACACTGGACTACTCTCCTCCAAATTTGAGGGCACTGTCTCTTGTGGAAACAATTATGATACTGGGTTATCTATGTCTTCACTTATATAAGCCAGAGGGGCAGAAAGCAGTTGGCTTCTGAACCACATCCTGTTTGGTTTGGTCAATCAGCCCTACGGTGGATTAGTCACACAGAGGGGGGAAACCTCCCAGAAGACGATCTGTAACAGTGAGAATACACGAGCAAACCGCTGAGGCAAAGACTCTGTCTCTCTCCATACCATGTTCTCCAGTGCTGATGCTCCTTCTGAGGTCTGAGGAGAGAAGGAACATTCTAGAAAAGTGGGGCTAGAGATAACCTTCTGAAGAAGCTTGTTTCCATGTTTTCCTTTTGGC